TCCTTTACTTCTAATGGGCTCCGTGATGTATCAAAGCCTATTCCCAAACATAATCTAGCTGAACCCATACCATACAATCAGGCTGATAATCAAGATTTATCATACAATCAGGCTGAAAATAAAGATCAAACTGTTAACGAATTGAAGACACGATTGGAATTGGGAAAAGGTTGGCTTCCAATTGGAAGGTTCGAAAGTCAATCTGAGATCTTTAATAAACGGTAAAGCTGAATTATTGGTTCACCTTGAATTTTCTAAGTATCACTATCTGGGGAGTTGGTAGTTCTCTAGAAAAGCTAAGTGGATCTGAAACATTAAAAAGAAACACAATATCACTTTAATTGACATATAGGAAAATCAATTTCAGGATGCTTTAAAAATAAATATTTGAAGCTTATGGGATTAATCCCATTTTGAATTCGACTATGTCAATGTTGAAATCCAATGTTAAGGATTTGACAAGTTTTGAAAGGAAGAATTTCGTATATATTGTTAAATATGTAAATTACCTTATGACCGATCTAATTTCTAAATATCATGCGTTAAAAATTTATTTTTAACATTTATTAAACATTTGTAATCATTTTAAATATTTTAAAATCATTATAATTATAAAAAAACAATTATAATGACAATATTGTCTTAAAGTTGGAATCATTTCTCATATTACAATCACAACGTTCCAGAAAGATAAACCCGGTAGTTGTATTTCACGTATAAACTGATTATTACAAGAGAGTATATAATAAACACAATTACACTGAGCACCCTCTAATATAAACAAATACTAAAGCTATCTACACTGTCTAATATTTCCCAGCAATCTAAGGCCGAGAAGCGACCCGCAGATTGGATCTAAGTAACCAAAACCGTTGTGATAGTAGAGGCGTAGTGAAGACATCAACTATCTAATCAGTTATTGATATGAATTGAACAAAAAGTTTTCTTTGGTTTACCATCTCACGAAAAAATGAAAGCCAACTTCGACATGCATTGTGCGAGAATGAAAAACAAGATTAGCTTATAAGTATGTTTGTCACACACGCATAATGAACAATACAAAAACTTATAATAATATTACATACTTTCATAAATCTTAGTACGAGCATTACATTGTTCGGAATTCCAAAAGTGTGATAGTACAAAACAAGTTTAGCAAAATGTAATTCTAAATGAAACAAAGGCTAGAACAGATAGGCCATCAATAAAAGCAAGGACATAGGTATTCCATGTTACACGATGTATGTACTCCGACTCTTAAGTTCATGAGAATGCATACGTTTTAAAATACATCAACAAAAATAGTTGATGAATTCCACAGGTTCTGATTATGTGTAACTTTTATAACCAAACGTATATTTTATATAAATAAGATTGATTTTCATGTTATATAAATAAATTGTACTTTTATACCCAAAAAAGTATAAATTAAATAGTATAAGTAGTTACTTTGATTATATGTGAACGTACTTGTAACTCTGTACAAGCGTGTAAGTGAAGCATACATAAAATTCACAAAAAATTTTAAACTTTTAAAAGCATTCAAAATCATCATTGTTTAGAAACTGTTTCCAAAATAAGTTTCGTATCAGATAATTCCCAAAATCATGAAATAAAAACATGAGGAAGTGCACGATCACGCCTTCGCCTTCCCACGATCCTGGGAAGTACCTGAACATAATCCAACAACTGTAAGCCCAAAGCTTAGTGAGTTTCCCCCAAAATACCAATACATAGCAAATAACACAATATAATAACAACATGCAATGATTTCACAACTTTACAGACTGGATTACCCTTGAGCCCACATCATAACTCTGGATCGCCTCATAGGCCCACAATTTATGTCTGGCTTGCTCCCCGGCCTGGTCAATAAACAGAATGAGTACCGCTAAGCCCTCAGTACGAGTCTGCCTGCCCGGCCCGGTCCTTAGCTCATATCTGGAATGCTCATGAATCCTAAGTATAATTTTGGCATGCCCTCCCTGGCCCTCAACTCATATCTGGCGTACTACAGGGTTTGTTGGCTACAACACAGAGCAGTACAACCTCAACCCAACCCACACAATATGTCGACATATAACAGATAATTTCGTAAACAGATAAACAGGCAATTCATAGGTAGTGCTACAAGTCTACCACACTAGCATAGCAAGACTAACATACATAACTATGACATACTCAACATATTAGCAATATCAGGTTATCAAACCAATGGGCCAGCCTTGGTGGCTTCGATCCAAAAGTATAGTGAGGAAGACTCACCTAACAAGCAGCTGAATTGATAAGATCTAAATCTGAATCTCAGCTCCCAACTCCAAGCCTACAACCATCATGACCAACCCATTTAAACCTTAAAATACCCAAAATGCCCTAAAAATTCAAACTTGGTCAACCATGGTCAAAGTCAAAGTCAACCGTCAAGGTCAACAGTCCATTTGACCCAACTCGTCGAGTGCACATACCAACTCATTGAGTTCCTACAGTACTCCGAGAAACAAGGAAAACCCAAGCCAACTTGTCGAGTTATCAGGACAACTCGTTGAGTTCCTTATAGTATCTAGAAAAGCCAAAAAACCTGAGCCAACTCATCTAGTTATCAGGACAACTCGTTGAGTTTTCCTAGCTTAACTTATCCATTCCTTTTCCATCCCTTCTAACGCTCAAGAATGTAGATCTGAAACACAAATGTTGAAAACCCACGTAAAGTTGCTAACTTTACGTCCATGCATAGCACAAAGAGGCTAAAACACTCAAATAAGGCTTATTAAGGGACTTAAAACATGAAGGAAGCCTATATCTAGATAAATCTTGAAACTTTAAGCCCAAGGTTGCCATAAAACGTCCATGTCTGAGTTATAACTCCATGACATGCTCAAACCAAGAACAAACCCCAAAAATGAGCCAATATGACAATAAAATTTCAAGGAATGAGATCTAAGCTATAGATGATCAAGGTATCGACTTTATACCTTAAAATGGCTGAAACAACAGGGAAGATCCTGGATCTATAGCCTTTGTTTCCACACAAACCACTTCAACCTTCAAGCTTCTTCAAAAGAACACCTTGAAAACACTTCTTCAAGCTCACACACACAAATATGGAAGAGAATCATGAGAC